AATTAATTAACTATTATTAAATAATAGTTATTAAATTATTACTACCAGCGTGAAATACACAAATTATTCGAAATACCTGTGTTTAACATGATATAAAAATTAAAAACTAAAAAATATATGGAAAACAGTTGCATAAAAAATTATTCGAACTAATAGCAAACGTTTAGAAGACATCTGTCCTGTCTGTTAGACAACTGACGCTTATCATTCCAATTATTATTATTATTATTTTTTTGTATWTTTACCTCTTGTTCATAAAAAAAAATTGTGAGAATTCTGAAAATTGCATATTCATTTATTTAATGCATTATGTTAACTAATACATTCGTTAAAATTGAGTAAATTAAAATTTTATATTTGAGTAATTTTAKATTAATATTGATTCCATTAATATTTATAAATATTAATAAATTGTGTTTGTTTTAATAATAAAGAAGACTTCCGAATTCATAACACCATTTAATTAAATAAAAAAATTATTGTTGAGTAATAACTTAATTCTTCACTAAAATAAAATTTATTATAAATATCAATGACCTATGATTTTCAATTAAAAAAAAATCACCAATTTCATTAGTTCATGAACTCGGACAAGAATTCTATCTCTATAAATATGGATATCAACTATAACAAATTTCAACTGCCCATCATTAAAGGATAATGATGACGGTCAAGCACCCGTCATCTATTCGAGTGTCATTATTTCTCTTTAATGATGGTCGCTTTTAATGACGGTCAATAACGATGACGATCAAATGTCTTTATTATGTGTATAATTAAATGTACGTCATAGATTTGAGTGTCCTTGTTTCTCTTTAAAGATGGTGGCTTTCAATGACGATTAATGCCCGTTGTTATATATGTACGTCAGTATTATATGCATCACTAAATGTGTTGAAATGTGTCATTAAATGTACATCATTAATTTTTTTTTTGTCATTTCCATCATTAATAAGCGTCATTAAAAAAATACAATTGCTTACCTAAAACAAATTATACCCCTTATCCCTCTAGATAAAACTAAACAATACAAATATACCTAATTCACTACAGTTTTGTTTTTTAAGAATGTAAAAAAAAACAAAAATAAACTAGTTTATACTTTTTTATTACAGATATTAGAAATATGAAGAATAATATGAAAACAACAATAAGGCGATATCTTTAGAAACTACACAGAAAGGTGTGAATCTTCTGAAATTTAAACTAAAAAAAACTATGCTGGATACCCAACAAACAAACTAAAACAAAATACAAAATGTGATGGTTAATGACCCCTATTATCACCCTTGTAGGAGAGTTAGAAAGATCTGTGTGGCTTTTTTACAAATCGGCGACTGTCCAATTCAAATATATATATAGGTAGAAATCGGCTACTGTCCAATTCATACACACACATACACACGTATATATGAGGAGGGAAAGTTTTGTCAATCCCATTTATAGCAATTCAAATTTCCTCACTCTTTATGGAAGAAATTATATAATTAAACAAAATGTCAAAGAAAAATATTTGTTTATTAAATACTAAAATCTTGAAAAGAATAGAAAGAAGACATATGTATTGACTCTTCCGCCAAACTACCGACCTCTAATTCGTGCAACAAAAACAAAGAGAAGAGGAAGATCGTGCTGCCACCACCTACTCTACCAGATTTGGCTTCTCTTGAACCACCTCTTTTTTTTTTAGAAAGAGTAATTTTCGATCCTATGGAACAAAGAAAGAAACTAGAGGAAATTATGAGAGTGTACCTTAGAAAGAATCCAACTATGGGTAGTAAAGGTTCTGATAAAAGGGATTTAGAAGGTAGTATGGCTAGGATTAATGAGGGAGTTGATAATGAAAAGAAGAAAAAGAAGATTAGAATTAAGGGCCATGAGGATATTTGTGACCAGATAGCGAAGTTGAATAAAAGATGGTAAAAATTTATGGAAAATACAAGAAAATTTAGTGAAGAAATACAAGCTGTGTTAAATGGGATGAAAAATCACCCTAGGTTTGAAGTCACTCAACCAATCTCCATATCCGAACTTTTAGAGCCATCAATTCCACCCTCACCCTCCGTTATTGCCAATATGGGTATGGAAGTGGTAGAAAATAATATTGGTGACTCCAAGCATGATATTAAGATGTTTCCAATTCACTGAGAAATTGCACCAGGCGCAATGTTGGAGAGCACTCTATCGGCCGCACTTCAGCGTATTTTGTCTTTAAACTTTCCATAACAACTCAATGTTACTAAAAACCTTTAGTTTTTTATGAAGTAGAACAGGAAATGACGAAGTTGAAAATCACGAAATTTTAGCAGCCGTGGATGAAGCAACGGGAGAAAACTCACTGGATGACAATGGAAATAACATGGATGTTCAGGAGATGTTGGATTCTATTAGAGATGATCAAATTCTTGGATATTTGCCCCAAAAAGTTTGTGGAGGAGAGTTCAAGGAAGAAGATTGCAATGACAATATTTTACAATTCAAAGTCAGTATCCACACTCCAGTGCATGAGTCCCATCAAGATGAGGAGGATGTCCCTTCTCAAGAACAAGAATGAGCATCCGGTCYTGTGGATGGTCGAAATGAAACCACAGAGTCATCGTCATTTTCTTCCAAAGGTTTTGTCTCCTTCCCTTTCAAGTATGAACGTATCTGGCCCTAATTTCGTTGTTGTTGCAAAGAGCTCAAAAGAKGAGGTATGTTTGGCTAAAATGGTGAAGAAAACAAAGAAAGATAAAAATTCGACCCAAAAAGCATTGAGTGTGTTGCCCTAAACTCGTAGTTTGTAATTATGTAAAACAATTTTATATTCAATAAAGTCATGGTTTCATATTCAATCAATTTGTTGTTGAATTTATAGCATTACATTCTCCAAATCCAATAAACTAAACATCCAAGGTTATTATCATGTAATCGGGACAGTATATATACTGGGTATATATTTGATATACCCTCGATAGACAAGTGGATAACATCCCGGGAATAACCTAAAGAGTTTGTAGTATATGGATAAGGCAAGGTAACTTATCTTGACAACACTATTGATACAACCAACTTTGTAAATGTTACAGACGACCCGATCYAGGTCATTCGTGTGTAGACATGTGAGTGGGGGTATTCTATACAATGAGTTTGTATAAGACGAGRCCACGAAATAGCCAATCTTTACATGTAACGTCGTTGACTAACAGATTGCTATTTCATATGATAAACAAACAATTCATTCTTAATCCTAAGTGAGTTATGAAATCCTACCCGTGAGGGCTCGTCGTTTGATTTGTATGGGTGAGAGTGGCCCGAGTCACCAACTCAACATTCCTACCATATTTTGGGGACGAGACAGAGTGGAGAGCTGGAAACATAACTTCATGAGATGGAATTCACTCCTCCCCGACTTTCGGGGAGTAGATAAGTGTTCTCTTAAATGCTGACTCCTAGACATGAACAAAGGGCCCCACCCTCTCACTCGCTCGAGACGGACTTCCCACTACAACAAAATTGGCCTTTAATGTCATTTTAGAACTGACATGATATATATACTATGTCGGTTCTGCAACCAACATCGAATCGAATGTCGTCGAAGCTAACGATGTCAGTTATTGAACGATGTCGGTTGTGAACCGACATCTATTTAACTGACATTGTAGTGCTTCAATGTCGGTTATATCAATGTCGGTTATCAACTGACATGGAATCGTGTGTCATTGTATGCTACAATGTCGGTTAGTTTACGATGTYGGTTCCTAACTGACATTGTTTATCCGAACAATGTCGGTCATTAACTGACATTGAAATAACCGACATTGTTCCTTCGTAACTRACATTGTTTACATATATTATTGCATATTTACTATGACGGGTAGCTATGATGTCAGTTCTAAACCAACATTGTTTTTACAGAAACTTACAAAAAAAAATTAATAGAATCTTGTACATATACCATATCAAAATATCTGTAAAACCTATATCAAATTATTTTTAGTAATAAAAAATAGTGCAATAATCTGTATTTTTAGCAATCCAGTWAACAAAAAAGTCAAGCAATACCAATACTTTTCAAAGTTCCAACACACAATCGAACCACCAAAACATTTATACCATGCAATATAATATTAATAAAATGCATAAACATAACACGTCTAATCCAATCATCACAAATCCTAATACACCTCCATTAGAATTCAGCAAACCAGTACAACACATATAGAATTCAACAACATTCACGACATTAATGCACAACTATCATAAACTAAGATCAGCTCTTTCATTAAGTAAYAATAACTTCATTAAAAAGTTAAAATAACAATAGACCAACCTACTCGTGACGGATGAGTCTCAAGAGGTTGAACTAAAGGTATGAAGCTTTTATTGCTCTCAATCACTTGCTTCCATTAATATCTCAATAGTTCCCAATCTACGCACAAAATAATATCCCAATAAGATTATATTTCTACACCACAAAATTAACTCAAGAAACATAACTTTAAAAAACTTCAGTAATACATTATTTTTAACATGATTTTTGTTTAAAACTTAACTCGAAACTAACCTAAAGTATATTTGTGTTGGAATACTTTCTAATAAAAATTTGTATTTTATTAATACTCAAAATTAACCATAGCAACTACATGTACTTTAAACCATTAATTTGGCTCACCTTGACTTACGTAAAGAAGTGTGAAGGTTAGTTACAACGTGAGGAGTAGAACTCCCCTAAACACATGAGGAGCACCAACTTCTACTCCCCTAAACACATGAGCACCAACACCCCTAAGAAGGGAGCCAATAGAAAATTAGCACTATAATTTTGAAACTCAATGTAGATGTAAATTAATTGAAAGAAGAGATGAGCGAATCATCCAAATTAATTGAAGAGATGAACGAATCCTGCAAATTAATTGAAAGATAATGAGCTAAAATAATAAAAATTATACTTACTACGCGTACCCCTTTAATTGCTCATCTATAACTAAGGAAACATATGAACGGTACTTGCTTTGGAGCATTACATAGGAAAGGCTTTGAGGTTTGTAGTGTTACATTCCATGGAAATATTGTGCTACCTAAAACATGACATAGAAAAAACGGTAAAGATCCCCATCTTATGTGAGAATAGAAAACAAATAAGTAAAATTATTTGTCTATTTCAAGTCCTAGTATAAGATGACCTATCCTACTCATGAGCAAATATCTCATTTCATTGGATTTTTTATGGCTATATTTTGCCTAACATTTTATGATTCAAGAAACACCAAGAAGCTATTTAATTCACAAGACAATTGAATGGGAAAAATTCATGTCTGCTACGAAGCCACAAAGATAGAAATAAATTTATGAAAATTTGCTTATGTATCCAACATGAATTTGTTGACCGTACAATTAAAAGTAAGTGGGGTTGCTGATTTGGTCCACACTGGTGGCCTTGACAAATAAAATATTAAAGGAGAAGACTACAAAATACTTGCAAGGGATGAATTGAGAACTAGTATGATGTTTGTCAAATATACTACCAAAGGTTACCAATATCATTTCAAAAATATACATCTTTCAAGTTTTTATCATTCTTGCAACAAATTTAATGTCCACAGAGCTTACCAAACATGTATATCAATTTGTAATGTAAAGTTCAAAACTGTTATTGGTAAGTTGAGTTCAATTATCATAAGGTGTATCTTCCACCACCTGGATTTTTGCGTTTTTATCARTTTTGAGGATCACTTCTTGCCGCTTCTGCAAATGAATTAAGTAGCGTAGAAAAATGAAAAGCAAAACCAAGATAACCCAATAATATAGCACGACATTAAAGCAAATAGTGCACAGTTTTCAGAGAAATAAAACCTAACCTGGATTTTTAGTCAAATTTTGGGACTGTTTAAAGGGAAGGAAAATTATCATGATTTAGAATTTGTGCGACACAAGCCGTATTTGTGGATAGGAAGGGCCGAATTTTCCCACAACAAAAATGGCAACATTGGGGGATTTATGCCACGTTGTTGGTGATTTCATTCAGTTCATAAGCCATTGTAAAAGTAGCGAAGAATGAAACTTGTTACAAAATTGAATAAATGCAATTGAAATAGTGTGAGAGAAAAGTTCAAACGTACCCATTTTCTAGTTCGATTTGTAAGTTCTTAGACAGACAAAATGGAAATACTTGAAGGGGGTCGTCGGTGGTTGTTGTTATGGCTCGTGGATCTAGGTTGCAACATYGCTCACGTTGTCGGATCTAGTTTAAGAATCGTGGCGTTGCTAGTTTAACAAACAAGAGAGAAAATAAGGGGTGGCGACTGGCTTAAGGAGATTGAGAGGAAAAGGAAGATATATGTTAGGGTTTTAAAGAAACAAAAAATGGTCGAAACCCGTTGCTCGTGAAGGACGGAGACGATCGCCGGAGCTTGCTATCTTGGGTCGTGGTGTTGTGCCAACAAAGATGGGTCTCCGGAGGTAGCTGTCGATTTCACGAAGAAGAGGGGGATGGCGGCTTGGATAAACGGAGGAAACGTAAGGGAAAACTTAGGGTTTTTCTTTTCTTTCTCGTTTTGTTTTATTTCCAAATGTAGTTTTTTAAAAAGAAAATCTAGAGAATTTAATTTGATATTTTGGGGAAAATAAACTAACTTAAGAATAACAAAAATAAAAATAAAAAATAAGCCAAATAACATAATTCTTTTTTTTCATCCGATTTTTTTTCTTTTTTCATGCCTTTTTTTGGGTTTTTTGTTTTAATTTTTTTAACATTTGATGTCAGTTTTCAAATAACATTATATCTAAATAATCAGTGACTCTTAACTGCCATTAAAATTCTGACATTATAGAGTACACTTTTTTATAATTAAATTTATTTTTTATATTTAATGTCGCTTTTCAACCGACTTTATATCTCAACTCCTTCACATTATTTATTTATTTATTTTTCGACATTCGATGTCGCTTGAAAATCGACATCGTATCTCCATAATTGATGTCAGTTATTAACTGACATTAAAGATCCACTTTTTTTAAAACCGACATTGTAGATCCGCTTTTTCAAAACCGTCATTATCTATAAACTACCAACTGACATTGAAGGTGACAATTGTTGTAGTGTCCGATTATTGGTCGGACCATAATCGGGTTGTCCATTAGAGGAGCAGTGGTATTTAAGGAGCAAAATGTAACTCATGGGTAAAACAGCAATTTGACCCAGCTTGAGTTACGAGCACTCGTGAAGGATTGATTTGCCGTTAATGATCATATATCTCTGGACACGAAAAACATTGTGCAATGAGAAGAGTGCAGCTGTGGGTCTTTTGTGGAGTGACCCGAAGTTAACGAATGTTGATTAACTCGGTTAATGCATTTGACCGGTTAATCTTGTATCGTTGGAACTTTGGATATGTAGGTCCATTAGGTCCCCTTGCTATCTCACAACGGGTAAAACAATGATCAATAATTATGAAATAATTTGAAGCGTTCAAATTATATAAGRGAATATATATAATGTATATTGATACATTGTATATATTAATTTTAGATAATTATTCAAAATTAATACTATATATTATGAGATAAACATTTGAATAAGATTCAAATAATTAATATGAATGGGAATCATATTAAAACTATAGGTTCAAAACAATGTGCATAAGATGTAGATTACAACTATAGGTTATACAAGAGAAATTTTTTAGAATATGATTCTATTTTGGTAATAAATAATCAAGTGTTAATTATTTATTTAATTAATATGTATATAATTAACTAATTAATTGTTAATTAGATTAATAATTAATTAATGAATATTAATTAATTAATGAATATTAATTATATATATATATATAATTAATTATTAGTATTAATATAATTATTTAATATTAATTTAATTGCAGGAGAGTGAGAGGTTTGTTATAACGTAAGGTAACTCTCCACGTCATTCTTGTTTTAGATTGCMGTTTTGTTCTCAAAACGGACAAGGAGGACAACTTCCCCTGTATTTTTTCTCAACACCAATTTTTCTCTGTCAATTCCCTTTTGGTTTTCAAAATCAAAGCTCCCACAAACAAGTTCTTGTTCTCTATAAGATAGCCGGGAAGATTAGTGGTAGTGAACGGATTCATTTACTGCTGTTTCTTCGAGAAGGTCTTGAAAAAGTAAGTAAAATTCCCATGTATTTTCCTTTTTTAGGTGTGGTATTTGCTCCTTAAATTTCAAGAACAAGATTGTCGTTTACGCTGCAGGATTAACGTCACATCAATTGGTATCAGATTGACGTTTATATTTTGAATTGTCGGGTTAAAATGATACATTTTGGTCGGTAAACTCTACATTTTTATGAATGTGAGTTTGCAGGTTGGATGTTTTCGAATTTTGGCATTTAGAATAGCGTTTTCATGTTAATTCAAGAATGTAAGGGCCCATTGTTTTGAGCATTTTGTTTCTGTGTCAAGTTTGTAAGTCCGGGTCACTCAAAAGGTGTTCGTGGTGTCGGATTGGGTGAGATTGTGCAAAAACCAGCGAAGAAGATGAAGCAGACTGTGCAGGCAGTGCCATTGCGCTGTCTTGGCTGCTCTGGTGCTGTAGCAGCGCCACGACGCTACCCTTTAGCGTCGCGGTGCTGTCTTGGGTGTTTACGAGCTGTCGGTTCACGGTTCGAGGGYTGCTCATAAGTTTTTCATTTTTCATTATTTATTTTTTTTGCTTTCTTAGGATGCAAAAATTTGRTCCAACTTCGCTGTTTAATTATTTTGTGCATTTTGAATGTATATTTTGATTAAATGGATATTGCATAATGTATACCATATAGTTTTAAAATCCAACCTTAGGATACATGCATCTTACGTATATGTGATAGCTTATATGTATGTATGTTATCGGATACGCAAAGGCACGTCCGCATACTTGAAGGCTTCGGAGTCGCATATTATTTCTAAGTATYAGTGAAGAATGACTATCTTGAATGAATGAGCTCATTGTGTGGTTGAGGAAATCACAACAGACAAGAGAATCCAAGTATGGGCGCATGGGTGCCCACGGTTTGGTCTTTAGTGCACCGATACCAAAAACCTCTAAGAGGTTTCTATTCATATCCCCATTRAAATTTGGAGTGCGTGTTGGGATTTTCTCTATCTTTAAAAAGATTAGAGACTCGTGCAAGCGCACACGGTCACAAGTAATACTCGGAAGTAATCCAAGGTCGAATCCTCAAGRACTTGTTGCTTTTCAAAATCAAGTAATGCAGTGAATGGTTCAAATATGCAATTGTGATCTAAGAAGAAAATAATGGTGAAATGTTGTTGTTTGGGGTTTTAACTATCAAGCAATTTAATGAAACTCAACCTCCTTGTCTCCTACCTTAGTTTTGATGCAAAACATGGAAAACACACTATGTTGAGAAAATGCACCAGGCGCAATTCCTGACTTTTCTTGGGATTTGAGTTCTACTCTTTCACTACCGCTTTTGGTTGCTGCAGAGGCTAGGGTAACCTACAATCATATTCCTATGTGTGATTACAATCCTAGAGAATATCTACCAACTCATTTCCATTATGGGTTAGAGGGCCTATGCCTAGGACCATGTTTTATGCGCTTATTCCTAA